TCTTAATGGCTGCCTCGTTAGATTTTATGGTATGTATTTAGATTATATATATTGTCATATTATGTTATGTAACATAATTATATAGTACTATTTCTAATGACATATAGTTACATTATTATCTATTATATGTGTATAGTTACATACATGCATGTAGAGAAAGGCTCATTTTGATGGGGATACTGAGAAATGGATCATTCATACCGTACCAATGGGAGTATAAGTAAATGCAACTTTCTGGAAAGCACTTTGTCAAATTATATCTGAAATGGCAGCAACATTCATTCCTATTGGCCCCATGATTCTAGAAAGCACACCAAAGATGCATTGATTAGGATACTCAGGATCCTGAGTATTATTTATAATACCGAAAACAATATCGTGCTGTATCCAACAGAAGCCTCTTTGTTAAGTGAATATTCTTAGTCTACAAGGAGACAGCGACCCTGCTTTGACGAAGAAATAAGACCAGGAAAGTACTATTTAGGAATATGACTTGGACAGAAAATAAATCCAGCCTTTACTACAACTAATGTATTTCATGGTATCAATGATTTGCTTTTACATTTATTTAATATATTTAATGTTTATTTTCTATTATAAATCACCTCCCATAGCATGCTGTTCTGGTATAGAACTAGGGCCACTGTCTCTGAATTTCATCAATCCCAGTTTAAATTCCCACTCTGCCAGCAGCCCAGTTTTGTGATTTGAGATAAAACACGTCACCTCTCCGAGCCTCAGGTTCGTTATCTGTATTACAAAGAATCGACACTGCAATTCTGTAGTGTGATTCTGAGAATTAGGAATATTTATGTTAAGGAATCTGGCCCACGGCATACAGGTTCCAAGGATTAGCTATGGCGAGAGATGGTTTTGTGAACACGAAATCTCTTTTAGCCTACTTGTCACGATTTAATGCTGCTCTATTTGTACATCCTTGTGCTCAAGGTTGACTGTCCATTTGTTAGCACATCTGCATATTCCCCATAATTAATTTCTTTTTTAATGACATATGGTTTAGTGACTGGAAATGGAGCCTGGCCTTCTGTTTTCAATTTGTTTATGACTCAACGACTCAATATGTGTGTCTGAACTCTAATGTTCCATTCTGGAAACTGGAATTTAAAATCCTCGCTCATATGTCGCTGTTTCAGAAAACAAGAGGAAAATGTGTGATCGGAGGGATTTGAGCACATGCCAGGCCATCCAGGCAGGATAGGTACAGATAAGAGGTCATGGCTTCTCCCGTGTGATGTGAGCAGGGAGACCTGAACGAGGATGCCCAGCCAACCATCTCGGAGGTGCGAGTAGTTAGGGCTGCGCTGGGGTCAGATTCGAAGCGAAGCCAGTGGGAAGATTCAGGGCTGCTCGGAATGAGCACACGCAGGTGGACAGGTGTCCCAGGCCCTGGAATTAGGCTGAGGACCTGATCGCCCCAGATGAAGTGTGTCCCTGCAGCAGGGCCTCTGAAAGGCTGCTCCTCTGAAAGGCGGGGTCCAGGGTACATGCACATCTGAGTCCTGATTCCTGAAACCCATGTAGCACGCACTAGATAGATAGATAGATAGATAGATAGATAGATAGATAGATAGATAGAAAGAAAGATAGAGAGATAGATTTCAGAGAGAAGAAGGGAGAAAGACCGAGAACATCAATGTTGAGAGAGAATCATTGATTGGCTGCCGCCTGCATGCCCCACATTGGGAATCAAGCCTGTAACCTGGGCATGTGCCCTGACCAGGAATGGAACCGTGACCTCCTGGTTCATGGGTTGACGCTCAACCACTGAGCCATGCCAGCTTGGCAGTACTCAACTTTTTTATGCTGTGTACACATTTGGCGTTATAGTTATTTGAGTCACGTCTTATCTCTATTAAATGTCAAGTAGATCGGCCCATCCCTTTTCCACCTGACCTGCCCTTTTCCACCCACAGCAAAGAGCCTTGTGCAGAATGGCATCCAGTGTCTTTTATTATAGGTTTACATTGAATACAAACTATGATGGGCTTCTGTGGTATCTTAAGACAATATTTCATTCCAGTGGGTTGAAATGCACACACATACACACAAAACATACACCACAGTGGTAACAAGTTGGTGCTATGAGAATCCCAACTGAATTTATTTTGTCCCCAAAACTTTACTCTTCCAGCCACTACAACCTTAGTAAGTCACTGGTCACATGAAAAAAAAAGTCTATTTTTTTTTGCTTCATAGACCTTCCCCCAGAGTTCTGTATGTCTGTATGGAGCAAAGGTTTGGGGCCTTCTGTTTGTTTGTTTTTTTGGGGGGGAAGAGTTGTGGTTTTATTACCATTGTTTGGATAGGGAAGGATCCACAAGTATACATTGATCTAAAAGTTTAATAAAATTCTACATTTATAAGTTTAATAAAAGTACGCATTCAAAAGATTATACCACAAAAAAAGATTATACCAGCTATACTAGTCCAATCTGTGATTTAATTTATTACTTAAAGCTTTGTATTCATTTTGCCTTCCAAAAAAAAAAGGTTAAATTTGAAATTTTATGAAGAACACCCTTCCTTTGAATTTATAGGTCGGGGTGGCTGTTTTTTCCAGTCGCCGTGTAGAATGAGTATTTACTGGGCAAGATGTGTTGATTCAGGAGGTTGTCTGTGGAGTGCTTGCCCCGGGAGGGTCATATTAAACTTGAGAGAAGTGTTTTGAGCAACATAGCATCTTGGAGGCCATATATCAAGCTGATAGATATGCAGCTCTCCTGCTACGGAACCAGGGATGGAATTATGGCCGGCTCCCAGTTATTGCTTCGGGGCTAAGGGGCCTCTGAGGAATAGGTTTGGATAAAAGGGGTTAACCAAAGGGGAAAGGAAGGTTTCCAGGATTCAGAGTTACCGAAAGCCCGCAGAATGAAGAGTGCTACGTAAATAATTGAGGATGATCACTCTGTTTGGAAATATTTTGCAATGTTATATAACCAGAGTGTGACCAATTTAATGGAGTACTTTTTTGTTGTTATCACTCAGAAAAGAACTCAAGATATTGTATCATTATTATTATTATTATTTTAGTTGTTGTCATGATGGGGTCTCCTTCTGGACATTTCTCTATTTTCTGATAGCACGGTGATGTCGTTTTTAGCGCTGGAAGAGATTATTTTGGTGGACATATTTATTCCTCAAATGTCTCATGTTGATAATGTGTCAAAGCTGATTTTTGTTCTGATTTTTATTCTCCCGGCCACCTTCCTATTGTCATTGAGGTCTCTGCTCAAATGTCACCCAATGACAAGCTCTTCCCATGGCTTCCCTGTACAACCCGACCTATTATAAAATAAGGAAAATCACACACTTCTTTCCACCTTCCCTCCCCTTGCTCTGCTCTGCTTTCCTCCCAGGCATATGTCACAATGTGGTGTGATCTCGTGCATCTGTGTGCGCACGGCCTGCTGCCTCCGTTCCCAGGGATGCCCTGTGGGGTCAGGGGCCACGTCTCCTGCACCCAGTACTGTTCCCCCTCCACATAAGAGATCGCTGCTTCATACAGAGGAGAAGCTCAATACCTGGTTATTGAATAAATTAGCAAATCATTGATGAACTCGAAACCCTGACAACGAATTGATGGGACGTGTAATCTAATTCTTCCCTTTTCATCTCTGGTCACTCATTAACCTCTCAGTTCACAGGCAGGTTTTCCCGAGTTGGAGAGCACATAACACTCACACCACAGAGATGAATGTTAAAAAAAGTTGAAAATGAACCCAGATAGTTTTTATTGTTTTGATCTCTTCTCCTTCACCAATGGCCCCTACTCATCTTGGACCATAAGGAGCTTATATTACAATAAGAATGTTTCTGAAAATTACATTGTAGCACTCTAAGGGAAGTTCAAATTAGTCTAATAAAATAACAATAGGAATAATCATGACTAATAAATTAAAAATTGCCAGATCAGAGGCAATGTAATTTTAGGTGCTTTATTTACATTATCTCCGATCTTCATGGCAATCCTGCAAAGGAAAAAAAATCTGTCCCCATTTTAAAGGTGAGAAACATACCTCAGAGTCATTAGGTGATTTTGCTAAAGCCACAGAAGTTTGTGTAGTTTGCTTCTGAGTGCCTGATGGGCTTTAGAACAGACTTTGATATGATAGGTTGCTTCAATTTATACTTGTTGGGGAAATAATTTAATAACCAGAGTCTTTGTGTCAGCTTTGTAAGTAGAATAGGCTTTAGTTCTACTCTTTCCTGTTAGGCCTTCTAGAACTGTTTCAATAGGTTTCCCCGGTAGATTGTATCAAGCAGGTACACTGAATTCAGGGAAGACTTACCAGAGATCCCACCCGCCTGGGAAAAGCAACACTCATGCCCCACCTTGCAGCATTTTGGAATAAGGACGGAGTCACGGTGAGAAGGGGCAGCGGACTGTGTAAAACCCAGGCGCAAAGCGGTTGCACTTTTACATTTTCATGGGTGAGAATCAAGGCTAGAGAGTGCTCATTGCAGCCATTCCGGTGCATTTATCATTGTAGGAAAACACAGTTACAATAAACCTCCCTCAACACGAAAATGACAAGCCCGTGGGCTCATGAGCACTGTGATTAAAGCGGCGAACGGGCAGCATGGGAGAAATAAAACCCTGGACTCCTTCCCTGGTCGATTGCTTGATGATTGAGCAAAAGTTACATTGAAAAGGCGCTTCAGCACTTGCTGCACTAGGTTCCCTCGGTGTTTTCAATTAGACAAACAGTAGTCCAGGGGGGGGATGTACTGCGCATTCGTCTGCCTCGCTGTGTGCTCGGGGGCTGGCTTCTGGGAGTGAAATCCCAATGCGATTGTGCTGAAATGAACAATAGGGACCCACAGCAGCTCAGGGACGAAGATCTTAAACTAAATGGGCCATGGTTAACACGGCTGTGGATCCCGAGCCACAGTTTTTCCAGGATACGGGGCATTTCGGTCCGTCCAGCATATGTTCGCCGCGGGTTTCTCTGCTCTAATTCATCCATGTGTCCCCACAGCTCCAGATGGCATGCTGCCTCCCAGGCTTGCGGCCGCTGCTCCGACCAGTCTTCAGGTTGCCTGGTCTACACCAGCTCGGAACAACGCCCCCGGCTCAGCCCGCTACCAGCTCCAGATGAGGCCGGGCCCCTCCTCCCCTGCGTTGCTAGAGTGAGCATTCTGCCCCTTCCATCCTCCCAGCGGGCACTGGGGCGCGGTGTAGCCATAGCTTCATCTTCGTTCCCATTTGTGAAATGAAATTTACTGGGGCAACATTGGTTAATAGCCTTAGATGAATTTCAGGTGTTTGAGCAATAGGTCCGTTCTTATTTGTAGCAAATAAAAACCACCCTTTGTTTTTATTTTTAATTAATTTTTAGAGAGAGGGGAAGGGAGAGGGATAGAGAGATAGAAGCATTGAAGAGAGAGAAACATCATTGATCAGCTGCCTCCTGCATGCCCTCTACTAGGGATCGAGCCTGCAACCCGGGCATGTGCCCGCGTGTCGGCTCATGCCAGTGACCTCTCGGTTCATGGGTTGACACTCAAGTACTGAGCCACGCCAGCCAGCCAGGCCACCTTTTAAAAGTTCAAACAAACAAAACAACAAGCAACACCCTAGTCAGTGATGGTGAACCTTTTGAGCTCGGCGTGTCGGCATTTTGAAAAACCCTAACTTAACTCTGGTGCCGTGTCACATATAGAAATTTTTGATATTTGCAACCATAGCAAAACAAAGACTTATATTTTTGATATTTATTTCATACATTTAAATGCCATTTAACAAAGAAAAATCAACCAAAAATAAGTTCGCGTGTCAAAGGTTCGCCATCACTGCCCTAGGGGATAATGATTTGCTTTGTAAAAATATCTACTTTTCATGTGAAAATAAGATTTTACAAGAAGGTTTCTTCACACTTCATTTTTCATCAGCACATCTATTACATAAAACAAGCATGCACTTGAACCCCCAAAATGCTGGCTGGTGAACTGTGGCTACAAAATTATAATACATATCCTACAAGTTCCATGTGACAAACATGCTTAATGCTAGCAGTGACTGAGTGCTACTGTCATATACAGCTCACATGAATGCAATATTATGAACCCTCAGCCCAATGGCTACTCATTTTCAAAGAGGTAGCATGTGAGGATGGAAAAGTGCAATGCTTAACTGCATGTTGACCTTACCTGTTTATTTCTTTGAGTGTCTGAATCTCTCTAAAATGTGTCCCTATAGGTTATTTTCCAGTCCTTCGGCATCGTTAAGCCATGAAGTGAGGGACCTCCAGCCGCACACTGAGTACGCGTTCCGCGTGGTTGCCTCCAATGGCTTTGGCAGCGCGCTCAGCCCTTGGATTCTGTTCATGACGACGGAGGACAGTAAGTGTTCTGCACGATACGCAGCCAAATGTCCTCTACACGGGGGAGTATTGAATGTCTTTAGTTTTTCCTAAACTCATAAATAGTCCTCCTGCATTCTTTGGAGATCTAGTGACAATAGTCTTTTGTAGGGCAAGGGTGGTTAAATGTTCCAGAAAAAAGGAAAAGGTGTGCCTGGAGGGTTGGAGGGCTAGGAGTACTGACATGGCCCCATTCCGTCCTTCAGGGTACATCGAGGTGCCCTGTGAGAGAAAGCTTGTCAGCTTGTCCTCTGTGAGCAAATGTTGCAGGGCTCTCTGCTCTGGAGGGGTTCCTGCCGGTGGAAGACCTGAACTGTGGGCCTAACGGTATGAGGATGCTCAGAGCACCGTGATACCTTCCCCTAGAAATAGGTTTCCTTGTACTTCTATTTGCACTTGACAGACAGCCTTCTGTTCTAAATAGAGAAAGAATCTACTGACAGTGATTCTGCATCTAATACCTATAATAGATTGGGGTTGCCTTAGTCAACTCAGGAAGTTTGTAGTTTTTCATGGAAGAGCTATATTTGCATTTTATGTTTTTACTAGGTTATATAGGGAATAAACTCATGGACATAATATTTAGTTTTATACAAACTACCTCTATAAAAGCATACCAGTGGAAGTATAATTTTGTTTAGAGAAGTTGTAAATTAATGCAAGCTACACAGAGTGAATGAGGACACTGGATCTTTGAACATTGATATTTTTAGGGTTAATCTTGTCAATTATTTTAATCCGGGGCTTCTTAGAAGATGTTGTTCTGTTGGCCAATTGCCATTCCAGCTCTATGTCCAGTGAGGACTGGAGTGACTTTCTTAAGACTAGATAGTAGTCCAAAGGCATAGTGTTTGAAACAGTACCAGTTGTTTATTCAATAGAGTATTTATTTCTACAGTAACCTTAATTACAGTATTGTAGTGAGGAGGTGACATCAGATGAGACAGAATCAGAACTATTTTCGTTCCTCAAAGCTTACCTAATTTTACAAACATCACTTATGAACAATAATATGTACTATTTCGTCCATTTCTCCCTGGGAGCAAGTTAGGTCCTTTACAAGGGCACATCCCAAGTCCTTCTGGTCTTGAGGGTACCATTTAGCAAATTATCAGCATAGCGCAGTAAACACTGCCTAAGGCCCAGGAGGCATTAATGCACCACTCAGCACACCTACTCCCCTTCAGGGGGACTTACATACACTCTGGGGAAGCGGACAGCCTGGTCGCAAGCTCTATACAGATTTATGGTCTAGAGAGCTCACACTTGAAATAGAGTTTTAAAGAAATAATTGTGAAAACAATTGAATAAAGAGATGACCTGAACATAATTATTCAACCCACTGCAGAGGTGATTCCCATAGTATGCCACACTGGAAAAGGGAAGAAATGGTCTCCATTCTCTGGCACTCATCATTTCTATTCCCATCAAGAAAGGGTGACTGTGAATTACCTTGGTGGCGATGCTTACTAAAAAGGGAGCATGATCTCCTGTCTACAGGCAGGAAGTTCACCAGGGCAGGAAATGAGCACTAGCCGCCCAAGCAAATGTGCGGGTGCAAAGGGAAGTTCTCATGGATAGAGAAAAGGGCCGTGAGGAATTTTTTAAAATATATTTTTATTGATTTCAGAGAGGAAGGGAGAGGGAGAGAGAGATAGAAACATCAAGGAGGAGAGAGAATCATTGATTGGCTGTCTCCTGCACACCCCACACTGGGGATTGAGCCCGCAACCCTGGCATGTGTCCTGACCTGGAATGGAACTGTGACCTCCTGGTTCATAGGTCAATGTTCACCACTGAGCCTCCTCGGCCAGGTGATCTGAGGAATTTTTAATTAAACCTATTGGTGAGACATTGGTTAATAAGATTATGCAGGTTTCAAGTGTCCATCTCTATGATACATGATCTGTATGTTACCTTGTGTGTCTACCACCCAAAGTCAGATCATCTTCTGTCACCATATATCTGACCCCCTTTACCCTTTACTAACCCCACTCCCCTGCCCTCTGGTAACCACCATACTGTTGTCTGTGAATTTCAGTTTTATGTCCCACATATAAGTGAAATCATGTGGTTCTTAGCTTTTGCCCTCTGACTTATTTCACTTAGCATAATAGTCTCAAGGACCATTCAAGGTGTCCCATATGGTAGTAGTTTCTCTTTTTATTTTATTTTAAATCTTTATTGCTGAGAGTATTTATCCTTTCTTATGGCTGAGTACTGTTACATAGTATATAGGTACCACATCTGTATCCAGTCATCTATCAGGGGACACTTTGGTTGTTTCCATGTCTTGGCCACCGTGAATAATGCTGCAGTGAGCTTAGGGTACCAATGTCTTTGCGGACAAATGCTTTGGAAGGATGGATTGGTTAATGGAAAAGCCTATCTGCCTGGCCTTCAGGGCCTATAAGGCACCCTGCTCTTCCCAATGTGGAACTTCTCCTTCTTTGCAGACTGCACTCCTGCCTTCCTGAATTCTCCCATCAACATACTTAATTTTCTGTCCCAAACCTTCAAGGATGGGTCCAGAGCTATTTACTGAACTCTATGCTCCAATTCTGGGGCGGGGGGGAAAAAGCATTCTTACTAATGTATACTCTCTGGTCCTGATCTCAGGAGAAATGGAGAAAAATAGTTTCCCAATATTGGTTCTCCTACTCTCAGATGACCAAGTAATATCTTTTTCATTTTCACACATACTGGTCTTCAGCAGTTCCTTTATTTAATCAACTAGAGACCCGGTGAACAATCAGGGCCAACCAGCCACGGGGAGGGGCCACGGGAGGTTGGCTGGCTGTGGGAGTGCACTGACCACCAGGGGGAAGCTCCTGCGTTGAGCATCTGCCCCCCAGGTGGCCAGTGCATGTCATAGTGACTGGTCAACCAGTCATTTGGTCAACCTGTCATAACAGTTGCTTAGGCTTTTATATATATAGATGACGCCTGTGTTACCAGCCCTTTTCTGATTTCATCAGTTGCCAAGGAGCTGCATGTTCATTTTGGTGCAAAGTCATGGTGCCTATTCTTCCTCTTCGTTTCGGGATAAGCTGTTGAGCCCTTTTCATCATCATCAGATTAATATTTCTTTATCTTTATTTTCTTGGTCCTATTACATTTAAGTCTTTTATGATGATCTGTCAGAAATCTTGTCAGCAGGTAGTTGGAGTATAAATAATAAAGTGATAGATTTCATGATTAAAGGGACGAAGGACTCCATCACTCTCCACTCCTGCTAGCATATCAGTGGTGAATATCAAAAGGCCATGATAACAGTTAGCATATAACATATTGTTCTGTGTAATTATGCATCCATATATTTGCCACCTTGATTTTTAATTCATTGGGAAATTCTGGGAATATTTATTTGTGGAGTTGATATTACTGAAAAAGGGCTTTGAAACTGAGTGAGTTTTTAATGAAAATGGTAAAAAGTTGCTTCAGGCCAACAATGAGGACCTAACAGGGAAACTGAGCAGTTGCAGGTGACTAATAGCAAGCGAGTCTAGAAGAGGTGAAAACCACGGAAAGTTAGACACACACAAAAGGTGTGAGTGGGTCCACCCGTTCATCCGTACACACAATTACACGCGTGCACGTGTGTGCACACACACCCTTCCCAACATACACACCTGAGTGTGAAAATAAGCAGACCCCTTCGTTAACAGCTTTGTCTAAGGCTGGGGTTGAACTTCTGAAGCCGTGGAGCAAAATCGTTTCCCATAAAAGACAATTTCATTTGCCGAAATGAAACTACTTTCTGTTATTAATGCTGTAATAATGAAATGGCCTGTGCTCCCAGTCTGGATCTGGACAGAGAATGCCCCGTTCCCGGCTCCAGAAGGGAGTTCTCCGAACAGTCGCGCCCCGGGTGCGGCCATGTGGGTGTATCTCCATCCCTGGCCGGCTGAGCTGTGTGGCTGTCATACTTCCCAGTGACAGCTGCATTGACAACATGTTACACCCCACATTGATTTTACAGTTAAGCGGCGGATGGTGATATATTGGGATTTTAAGAATTCAGCTGAGAGGCTGACTTTTGCCTTTTATCATTCCATTAAAATTTTATAACTATCTTTTTCATGTCATTTCACCCATGAATTCTTCCTTTAGAAAGTGATAGCTACCGCCGTGAGCATAACTTTGCCCGTGTTCAGAGCTTTTTATTGTATTAGCAAACTGCCCCAATTATAGTTATTACTCATGTTTTACATAATTGTGCTGACCCTTTCCAGCACACAGTAGCATGCCGGTTGATTTGTATATAGAATAAGACGATTCGGCCTGTCCTTTGAAAGCACACACTTGAACCCGTGCCAGGAGTCGGGTTTTAACACTCACCTGGCCAGAGGAGCTAATGAAGCTGCTTTTGGGTCCCTCTCCTGAATCACACAAGTTTAAGGACCCTTCTTGTGACAAGAGCAGGGAACCGACTGGGAGCCGAGAGCTAATAAAATGCGCTGGCTTTTAAGGGGGGGCGAAATCATGAAATTGACATGGAGCATCTTCTTTCCCAAGATAAGAGATCATCTTGAGGGAAAGCCTGTGTTCCGTGGGGGCCTGAAGTACAAGTTCATCTCATTATCATGGCTGTTTCGCTCATAACATAGCGTCTTATCCGGGAGAAATGAAAAGCGTATCCCATCAAAACACATCAAACTGCATCCTTGTTGTTTCTTCCCCTTGAAAAAGTCCCCAGTTTGAGAGGGCACGTGTGAGAAATAATTATGCAAAACCCTGGTAAGCCTTAATACAAAAATATTCTGAGTTGTAAGTGTATGTTGCTCTTTTTTTTTTTTAAGGGGGAAGGGTGGCATGGAGTTAGATATGAAAGCCTTGAATCCAGCGTTGATTTTATGGACCCCAATCTCAGAGGATTTAGTTTCTCAAAACAACACTGACACCTTACAAGATTCATGCTGGTTTTTTGTTGGGAAATAGCCAAGTTTGGATGACACGTACGAATAAGAAAGGAATTCCTATTTTGATACCATAATGGCCACTTCTACTGTATACTGGAGGGCAAACGTGAGAAATGTCACCGTGGTTTTAAGAAAGCTTTAACATGAAAGCTAGTCTCAGACTGAAATGCCAAATGGGATCCCTACCAAGATGCCTGGACGTTTAGGGGTTTTTCTCCCCCGATGGGATGCATTACCAAATCGTCAGCAATGACTTGATGTCAGGGTTAGTGCTGGGTAACATCTTTCCTCTCAAATAGCCATTTCGATTCGACCATCAGTCCAGTTGGTGACAAATACATGGACCGCGTTGCATGACACTGGGCTTGCATGATCAGTTATCTTATAGGCACTGGTTTTGCGAAGCAGCTGTTACATTTAAAACAAACCTTGAGTGTAACACTGAATCACGCGTGCACACAAACACGTAATCAATGCTGTTTGGAACAATTACTAAATCCAAGTATACTTTTCATAAAGATTTTTTAAAAAAAAAATCTAATGTTCACAGAAAAAAAAATCTCATAAATGTCAACATCGCTGTGGGCAGGAAAAGGAGAATAGGGGATATTCCTGATCTACGGTAGCAACTGATAGATTTCGGGCCGTGGTTTATAAGAATGCTAAATGTTCCGGAATTACAGCTGCTACTGATCAGTGATTGAGCAGATTTGTGTTATTGCACCGTGTTCTTGCTTGTACCTAGAGAGCAGTAAAGCCTCCGTATAATAAAAAGCACCTGCATTTTAAATGAAATTTCAATTGAAAAACTTAACAGCCCTTCACATGGCAGAATTTAACGCAGCCCAGTAAAGCTTAAATAACACTTTGCCTCCGCGGGCTGAGGGGCTTGCATTCAAGGTGACTTGATGGTGGCGCGCGGCGAAATTATTTACAATTAGGGAATTTCTCTGGAGGGCTGCAGGGTACTTGGCGTTCCGCGGCACCTCGCGGGCATATGGCGGGCCTTCTTCAGTATTCACGGGGCCTCCCGAACCTTTCTGATAATTGAATCCGTTAGAATGCTGAGTGGAGCGAGCGTAAAACCTGTTCCCCCAAAGGTCAGATCTGTGCATTGTTTATTTATCAGTAGGTGAGAGAGCTCCATCGGCAGCTTCTGTCACAGCCGGAGTAAAAAATCACCTGTAATATTAACAGGGAGTAGATAAATTGCCAAACACGGCCGGGAATGATAAACAGAGCTGGGCATCACGTGGAATATGGAGTGAATGGTGTGGGGTGGGGACGAGGGGAGGGGGTGACCGGGCTGTAAACTGGGTTTGTTAGGATAGTGCTATTGATTATCATTAGTGACTGGGGCTCTAGAGGAAAAAACAGTGACAGAAGCTAGAACTTGGGCTACAACCGCCCTCGTGTCTATTTCTCCTCTAATGCCTTGATTTCCAAAAAAGTCCTCGGGCTGTTTCTTAGCATGAACTTCAAGAAAAGGACACGATTTGGATAAAGCCGTTTTAGAAAGGAAAACGACAGTCTAGCTCAGTGCTACTCAGCAAGTCCCTCTTGCACGTTTGTGAGCAATGCCATCCCGGTCCCTGTCTTTACGCCCGGGTGTCCCCTCCCGTGTCCTTGTGGGAGCGTTAGTGCTCCTCGTAGCTTTGTCCTCAGGAGATGTGGGGCGTTTCCAGGCGGTATCACTTTGGGTTTCATTCACCCCGATAGGACCCGGACCTGTGGACCCTCCGATCCTCCTGGCTGTGGCCCCGAGAGCGATGCTGGTCACCTGGCAGCACCCGGTAAAGCCCAACGGGGTCCTCACGCACTATCACCTGTACCAGCGCGGCCAGCTCTTCCTGAGAGCTCCCGGCGATGCCACGAACCGCACCGTGACCCGGCTGCGCCCACACACCGCCTACGCCTTCCAGGTGGAAGCCTGCACCGCCCCGGGCTGTTCCCTCTCCCCCCCGTCCCAGGCTGTCTGGACACCCCCAGACGCGCCGGAAGGCATCCCAAGCCCCGAGTTGTTCTCCGATACCCCGACATCTGTGATCCTCTCGTGGCAACCCCCCGCGCACCCCAATGGCTTGGTGGAGAACATCACCATCGAGAGGAGGGCCCAGGGGAAGGAAGAAGTCACTGCCTTGGTGACTCTCCCGGGAAACCATTCCACGCGGTATATGGACAAGACTGCCGCCCTCAGCCCGTGGACGAAGTACGAATACCGGGTCCTGATGAGCACTCTGCGTGGCGGCACCAACAGCAGCGCCTGGGCGGAGGTGACCACGAGGCCCTCCAGGCCCGCCGGGGTGCAGCCCCCCACGGTGCACGTGCTCAGACCCGGGGCAGCCGAGGTAAGATACTGGGTGTTCTGTCTGTAGATGTAGGTATCGGCCCTGGATGGACTCTGTGATGAACAGAGCCACCTACTGACAGAACGCACACATTGGTGGTTTTACACGCGCTCTGGAGAAACTGGGCTTTGGCCCTTGGCCCAGACGCTCGTCAATGCGATGTCCGTGTTTCATGTCTCCCTGTGTCCCCTTCATTACTTCGTGGCGATGCTTGCATTGGCCCTCACACACCTGAAATGCTTTGAATACCACGATGGGATGCTTAGCCTAACCACCACGTCAGATTTAAACAGAGCAGAGAACGAGGTGGGCTGGGGAAGCTCCGAGACCTGGATTAGCATATTAACCGAAGTCCCAATGACCCAAACTCTGATATATTTTCTTAATGATCAAAGAATCAAAATGATGGGGAACGGAATTAAAATAGGGCATTACTGGGCGATCTAGAAAGCGTTCCGTTATTCGCCTCGTCCTCCTGGGAACGCTCCAGAGGACGGGCTAACTGCCATTGTCTTGGCTGGCATACAAACTTCATTCAAGGGAAATTAGTGTAACCAAACAGGAGGGAGTTGTGTAGCTGCAGAGCCTCTTTTGTGTAAATACACACATGCTTCCATGGCTCCGGGCTTGTACTCCTGCCAAAAGCATCGGTACAGTAGCTTGCTCACCAGAGCACAAAACAAAGGACATTTGCATAACAGCAAAGTTCATCTGTTGAAATTATGACTTGGATCTACGCGGTGCCCGTGTGCGCTCTCCCCTACCCACACCAAACACGGGGTGATGCGCAATAGGGGAAACTGGGGAAGACATTTGATTTAGCCTCCAAGCTCAGTGCTCTGTTTAAAAGCCTTGATGACTTGGTTGCCATATGAGACTGTTCAAAGCAACACCTGTTTTTCATAGGAATATCAAAAGTGTCTAGAGGAGCCGTGGGCAGACTACGGCCCACGGGCTGGATCTGGCCCATTTGAAATGAATAAAACTAAAAAAAAAAAAGACCGTACCCTTTTATGTAATGATGTCTACTTTGAATTTATATTAGTTCACACAAACACTCCATCCATGCTTTTGTTCCGGCCCTCCGGTCCAGTTTAAGAACCCATTGTGGCCCTCGAGTCAAAAAGTTTGCCCACCCCTGCTCTAGAGTCTGTGGGTAAAACACCAGAAGGAAGTTCATTGGAAGTCCATGATATGCACACAGTGCTTATTACACGAATGGGGTAATCTTAAGAATTGTTCTTCGCTCAACGTAAAAAGAAAACCCCCAAACAAACCTGGAGTTGTTCATCATTGGGGAAATGACTCTCTTGATCCTGGGGGACTTTTGCAGAACTCGGGTAGCAGGCCCCATCAATATGACGTGACGTAATCACGGTCCCCTACACAAAGGCAGAGCTGTGTGATGGGCATCATTCTGGATTCTCTCCCAACAAATATTTCATAGGCAGGCCTGAAAAAAAAATACACAAAACTTTTAAACGAAGGATGGCTCAGTGCACAACTCTGTTTCATTCATTCATCAGTGATGATCAAAAAGCCTCCAAAACAAGTGCCTGGCTTTTTCTTCCTTTTTTTTTTCCCTTTAAATTCCCTCGTTTCTTCAATGTTGTGACCTCATCCAGGAATGAAACAGTACCCACGGCTTCTCCGCTCACTCGAGGGACATTTAGATCAGCCTGGACAGCGAGCTGAGTCTCTAAGGCTACCACCAGGAATAGTGGTGTCACCTGGATCGTGTCCAGGCACGGCTTTGCTATGGGGTGTACTCTAACCAACGTAAAAGGAATTGAGTCTTAATCATCATTCTCACCTATTTTTTTTTTGCTAAAATATTTTAAATTGATTTTAGAGAGGAAGAGAGAGAGAGAGAAACATCAATGATGAGAGAGAATCATTGATCGCCTGCCTTACGCATGCCTCCTACAGGGGCTCGAGCCTGCAACCCTGGCATGTGCCCTGACAGGGAATTGAACCGTGACCTCCTGGTTCATATGTCAATGCTCAACCACTGAGCCACACCAGCCGGGCTATTCTTATTTTTTTTATTATTTTCTTCTGACTTTGATTTTGTATGAGATTACAAATGTAGATAATTCATATACCCATTTGCAGAAATGTGTCTTTTAAAATTTAAAAAGAATTGCATGCTAAGGCAAAATATATATTTCAATCAGCCATGATCACAGTTACTTACCGAACTCTGCGGGCATGGCGGTACATGGGGACCAAACTTGGACCCTGCTCTCGGGAAGCTTATAGTCTATATCTGAAAGATATACTCTAAAATGTCAGGGACATCGAGAGGCAACAATAAAAGATGAATGTGGATGGCAATGCATAAGTGATATTTCTCATGGCCTGTGCAGTTTTTTCCAGGGTCTTTTTCACTCCAAGAGCACGAATGTGTTGCTAATGTGCCCCTGCAGAATTTAGCCAGGAGACGAAAGGACCGTTGCCCATAGGATTCCATTATCAAACCTCATTGTTTCGTCTGATGCTCAAGCCCATGAGTTAAACAGGCATCCTTTGCTCGCCTTTGCCAAAGCTCTCTGTGCATCTCTTATCTTTGCAAATAGGGGATGTTGTTTTTTACTTTCTTCATTTTGCACAAGTGAAATATAGGAACCCGCTTGTGCAGCCTCAGAAAATGCAAGCATTGATCCCCTCCTCACCATCTAACACAAAAAAGTGGTTACACGTTTAGAGCGCACACTCCTGATGCGAAGCAAGGGGTTCTGACGTTTCATTTAATTGAGTTACAAACAGGAAAACGATCAGCCCTGCTGCTCGCTGCCCCGTGGATGCGCGTGGATGTGTGAATTGTCTCCGCGTGCGCTCTGTGTGCTCCAGGTCCCCCACCGGGGCGATGAGTCACCAAGGTGTGTATTGGTCTGACAGGCCTAGAAAGTATCAAGATGGAAAGCCAAACCCAGGGATTGGCATTTCCCTTAGTTCCTGGAGGTCGCTAACTGACCCCAACCCTCACCTCTGTCTCATGCAGAAATAGGCATTTGCACCCGTTTGCACCCAACGGGCATGGCTCAGTGGTTGAATGTTGACCTGTGGACCAGGAGGTCACGGTTCTATTCACAGCTCGATTCAAGGTTAGGGCACATGCACAGGTTGCGAGCTTGATTCCCAGTAGGGGGCGTGCAGGAGGCAGACAGTCAGTGACTCTCTCTCATCATTGATGTTTCTATCTGTCTCTCCCTTCCTCTTTGAAATCAATACAAATTTTTTTTTTTTAAGTAGGCATTTAGCAAGCAACTTCACTGAAAACCAGACAGAGGGACATTCCAGCCCTGATGGACTTCAGCTGCTCTGTTCCTGTCTCATCACACTGATTCCATTTATCTGTTCCTCCAGGTCACGTGGAAACCCCCGCTCATCCAGAATGGAGACGTGCTTAGCTACGAGATCCGTATGCCCGACCCTCACGTCACAATCATGAATGTCACTCCCGCAGTGTTAAGCCACGTCATCACTGGGCTGACTCCTTTCACTGATTACTCGGTCAGCATCGTGGCTTGCTCAGGGGGGAGCAGGCATCTAGGAGGATGCACAGAGAGTTTGCCCACCCACGTTACAACCCACCCCTCCCCACCTCAGGGTGTTCAGCCGCTGTCCGTGGTCCCCCTCAGTGAATCGTATGCTGCGGTTTCTTGGCAGCCACCATCCAGGCCAAATGGACCTGGTTTGAGGTAAGAAAAAGGGACTGTGCTTTGGATTTTGCTGTGGGCTCTCTCTCCAGGAGGGAAGGAGGCTGTAACTCACGTATGAACGTAGAATCAATTCCTTATCGGCTATCCCGCACTCATAAATTTCATACAATTGCATATTATGTTTCCTGGCTTATACAGAGCCATACACGTTCATCAGGGTAGAAATCTATTAATTTTAAAATACGTTTTTATTGATTTGAAAGAGAGAGGAGTGGAGAAGGATAGAGAGATAGAAACATCGATGAGAGAGAAATGTCAATCGGCTGCCTCCTGACTGGGCATTGAACCAGCAACCTCTTGGTTCATGGATTGATGCTCAACCACTGAGCCACACCGGCTGAGCTATATCCTAATTTTTTTTAATATATTTTACTATTTTTTTTAAACAACCATTGTTCTCTAATGATTCTTGACCTAGTCCTTCCTTGATTTTCAAAGTGTATTTTTATTATATGTCAGGAAAACTTGATGCATGTTCTGAAGGATACATTTACACAAATGTGTTTCAAAATCCCAAAGCCAGCACGTAATCCTTTGGTATGTTGTTATTACCTGGAAACCTGTAGAGAATGTAGTCAGGGACACGGATAAGAAGTAAGAAAAGGGTGGTTCTCAAGTGGCTTGACCCTTAGCCAAGGCTGTGGGGTTGATAATATTATCACTGTTTATAAAGGAATGACGGTTGAAGTCTTAGAAAATCATTAACTTCATAAGCATTTTGTATTTCTACTTTGTGTAAAACTGGCAAGAAAGTCTCGGCAAACCTGACACACAAGAAATCTAAAATGTGACCGTTCTCACCGATAGCAGAAAAGTGCGAATAGAGTTGGTGGGTTCAAAATAGTTGACTATTTGAAACTTGAGTCAGGAAAAAATAATAATCTCAAAAAACGCTGTAATCGTCAATGAAGATGTGTTCTTTACAGTCACAGGCACACATCACATACTCATCCCACGAAACACCGGAATTTTGGTCATAACGTGAGTTGAGATAATCCCAGTGTTTCTGCTTGTCTTTTGCTTTAGATATGAGCTTCTGAGACGTAAAATCCAGCAGCCACTTGCATCAAATCCCCCAGAAGATTTAAATCTGTGGCACAATATTTACTCAGGAACCCAGCGGTTTTATGAAGATAAGGGTCTTAGCAGGTGAGATTACGAAACTATGAAAACAAGTGCTAGCATTGAGCTCGGAGCATGTTGAATAGTTCAAAGTACCGTCGCGTCTTCACTGTGTGCGCACGTTATCAGTGACGCCGTGAAATGCGTTTGGTCGTTATCTGCGCCGTTAGTCATCGGGCCGAAACAGCCTGTTTCACGTTTGCCATCTTAAAATGAGCCTTTTGAGCTCGAACTTGGGGATGTTAACTTATTGCCTCTGCCACAGCTCCAGCAAGACATAGATTAATGTAAGATTAGAGGAACTTGGAAATCTCGAACATATATGAAACTGGGGTAACAGTGGGCACTTGTCAGATGTGCACTGGTTCTGGAGAATAATTGCGATACATCAGTACTGCCGTCCGCAGAAATTATTTAGTTAACGAGCTGGGCACTGGGAAGAATTCGGGCTAGAGTTCGGGGAGATGAGTAGCCAGCAGGCAATGTCGGGAGGAGATTGCACAGGTGCGCGGGGAGACGTGAGTGCTGGTCCATCCTGTGAGAGAGCTGGCGTGGTGACCTTAGGCAAGTTACTTTCTCTGGCTTCACCTTAGTTGTTTATAAAATGAGGCGATTCAATGGGATAAGAGGATTTCTACCCCTTCATGAGTCCAAGCAACGTAATTAAATTCTAAAGCACCACAGGTATTCCTTTAAGAAAACGTTGCAGACATCTTTCCTATCAGGTTACTCCTGTAGGCTCAGTACTGAATACTGTAGACTCTGCTCTGAATACTGAGCACCGGCCTCATGTGCCACCGCCTCCTCACCTGGCCTCTGTGCTCGGTCCACGTCAGCATTTCTCCTGGCACAGCTCACATGCACCCCTTGCTCCCCAGCTGCTCCCATTGCTGGCATCTCCCCGTCTGAGTGATCATCCTTTGAGTCTTGAACTAGAAGTTTCCTATTGGGCTTCCCTGCCCTCTCTCTTCCTGGACTGAATCAGCTGAAATATCCATCCATTCATTCATTTACCTAACTTACCTACTCAGTAAGTAAACAGATTAAAAACCATCATCTCAAGTGAACCTGGTTTGCTACTTCACTTGAATAATAGCAACTGAACCTTGAGAGGAGTATGGTTCTAGAAATAAGATTTCAATATATATTATGTTTTACAAGGAAAAACGCCATAGTCATGTGTATAATGCAATAAGTTTACCATTTTCTGTGTGTTGGTAAAGGGAGGGCCTTGAGGATGGTCTCAACAAATTAATCATTTAGGGAATAACTCCGTGACAGTCCGGAATTTCTAAATTGGCCTTCAAACAATTGGTTTTACTAGTTACAGTATAGACTCAATAGAAGTTAGTTCACTGTTCAGATTTCAAAAAAAAAAAACCTGTTTCCTACAGGGTTTGAAATGGTACATTTTTCAAGACAAATGTAGGGAACACAATATTTTGAGAAGAAGTTGATATCCATAAGTTTCGCATGAGTATATGAAGCCCATTAATCTAGCATTTTTCTTTTAAAAGTATTTTTTATTATTAGCTAAGTGGAATGTCCCATATGATAATAATAATAATCAACATACCCGAAGTGACTTTAAAAACACTGTAAGCACACTAACACATTCTTTGTAAATGTAAGTGAAATATATATAAACTGACATATAGAGCCATGGGTCTGTATACTTGCATAAAGATTAGGTCTCAGGTACAATGAAAACAGTGTAAGGAAGTATTTTATCTAAGATCTCAAGGTGCTATTTCCTTAAATTTTAACTTCACCAGGGAAATTAAAGAAAATGCTGAAGACAAATGCATGAAGCAAAGTA